CTTTTGTGAACACCGCGCCCCCTTCCGTTTGACGAGGACATCTGTGCCATTACTCACTACTTCTACACAATGCTTTAAATATGTACCATTTTGTCCCGAACAAGGTCCTCCTTTCCCCCATCAGGCCAGGTAGCCGCAGCTAATAACAAGAAGAAGACCTACGGAGTTGGCTGGACAGGGTGAAGATCCATTTGGTACAACATCTCCGCTATGCTCTCAGTCTTTTAAGTACACCTTTTTGCACCCTTTTCTATAGGCGGGTCGGCAGAGAAAACCTGTGACTGGACGGTGATTGGGAAGAGTGGCCAGGAAAGGGCAGGGCTTACAATCTCTTCTGCCATCAACTCGACCAGTCTAATGTACTGCTCGGCCAAGCGGATTATCAGCGTTGTCCGACGGGTCAGTAGCCATTGGCAGAGCGCACTCGAGGGCCGCTTTGCTGTCGAGATGGTGGAACGCAGCATCGTGGCCGGCTGCGTCTGGTCCTCTGCTGTTGTGTCCACGGCCACTGTCGTCAAGGCGGCCACGGGTGACGAGGACGACGAGGAGGATGGGACAAAGGTGAGATGGGAAACGGGTCTAATCAGCTTCGCTGGTCTCGCCAGATCGTCTGGGACCTCAACTTCGGTAGTCGAGTCGACGATGGGACAGTCGACACTTGGACCCACGTGCTCACGAACCACCGAAGTCGGCTGGGCAAGATGACACATCGTCGGCTCAGCCGATCTTGTCGACGAATCATGACTGTCGTCTGTTAGTAGAAGAATTATTATTATTACTTTTGTGTCATATAGCGACATAACTAGGAGTAAGTTTGACCCTTTCTTGGCTGTGAATCGCATAAAAATAATAAATCGGCCAATATTGCCGAAGCCATATGAATGAAAATAAATGGCGATGTAATCAGGGGTCCAGAAGCAGAATGTGGTATGAAAATGTTTGCCTTAATCTCTCTTAAAGGGCCTCAATAAGTCAACGAAGAGCACAACTTGCGAGTAGCCTCCCATTTGGTCTCTATTGCAGAATAACTCAAATATCAGGGCTTGGATCATTATTAGCAACTTAGAATAAATAGTTTATTATGCATTACTACTTATATTAATAATAAGTAATATCGTCACTTGGAATGGCGAAAAATGGTTACATAATAGGCAATCCCGGTATAGAGGTGATTAGAATGAGAATTAAAATGTCTAGGAATGTCACATGTACGCTGCGACTCCCTTGAATCCTTTGCATAGTAGGGGAGTGTTAATTTTAAAACTATACTAAATGCCAGGTACTAAATCCTGTCAGAGGTGTTAGGTTTAAAATGTAGTCCAGTACAGCCTAGATGAAATGGCCTTTTTGAGAGGGAAAACTGAGCTAACTTA